ACCTTCGTAGGAAGCAGGTGCCAGGCCCCTGTTTGGAGCAGCGCTGCGGCGGGCGTGCGGGTGCCTGCGGAATATTCCTTGTAAATGGAGCACACCAGGATGGTGTCTGGGACAGCCCGCCATGCCCCCCCCCTGCCCCCCCCTGCCCCCTCATGGAAACACTACGTCTGCCATGCTTCTCCCTGATGGTGGCTGGCCCACGGAGCCCAGGGGTGGCACAGGGCTGGTGCCGAGGGCAGGGGGCTCTGTGGACAGCAGGCAGCTGCCCCTTGCTGCAGTCCCCAAAGGGCAGTGGTTAGGATGACCCCAGGAGTCACTGGTCAGGTAAGGCCAGGCCCAACCCTCCCAGCTGGCCAGGGGTTTGTGGCCCAGCCATTCTGCTCCCCTGCCCCTAGTTCCTGCACTCCTGGCCAAGCTGAAGCGTGCAGCTGTTTGCCTTGGGATAAAGTACTTCCTCCTCCTCACACCTCCGGCCGTCCAGCGTGATTTGAGAACCCCGCTTTCACTGCACCCCAGTGCATTTACTCGCTGGGGGAGAGGCCCGGCCTCATCAATACAATGTGCTTGGGCTGTAGAAGGAAATTTAACCCTGTGTGTGTATGCCTGCGTGTGCCCGTGAGCACCGGCTTGCCCTACACTTTCTGGTCACCGTTCTGGAACTCACCAGGCCCTCCGAGAGGGGCTGCACCCCCAAGCTCTTTGTTTATACCCCCCCAGTCCCCCAGAAGGAGTCGGTCGCTTCTGTCAGGGCATGTCGCGGCCCCTTTCCACCAGCCTGGAGAGCAGCCTGCCCTTGGGGCCGCTAGTCTCGAAAGCAAAATTACACCCCCTGCTATGGGCCGTTCAGCTTCCCCTTGAGTTGCCCCGTGAGGTGTCCTGGGTGGGGGTGGCGGTGGGGGTGGGCTGTAGGGCTTGGGGATTTGAAAGGCTGCTGTCGTATTTTGTGTTTTGTTGTTGTTATTTTGTGCTTTTCTCTCTTCCTGGTGTTTCCTCGCTGTCTCTGAGGGTGGTTCGAACAGCACTTTGTGGTCCAGGCTGGGCCCCTACCCCTCTTCCCCACCTTGGCTGCGAGGAACCCCGAGGCACCAGCACCTACCAAAAGCCAGCCAGGATGCTTCTGGCGGCCTCTTCCCACCCGGCCCTTCCCAAGGCTGGCCCATGATTTCTTCCATGATCGATGCAGTTGTAGGGAGGGCCATACACACACATAGGCAGGCACACACATATGTACACATATGCGCACACATGCACTCACACACGCTCCGTCCACGCCTAGCCCAGCATCCGCCTGCCAGCGGAAATGAAACCACAGCCCTCTTTGAGGTGTCTGCTTGCCCCCCGCTCCCCTCCCTCGGCCTTCGGGGGTCCTGACAGCTGTGCTGTTGTTTGCAAATCGTGGTGGGTGTCCGAGCCAGCACGGCTGCTGTTAGGGACACACATCAGGAGCCAGCACCATGGACTCCCACCTGTCCCAGGTCCCCGCCTTTTTTAGATGGTTCCTGTCGGTGGGATGGGACAAGGTCCCCCCTTCGGGTCTGACTGCCTGACTGCCTTCACTCCGCGGCTTGTTTGGAAGATTCTCCAGCTTCGGCTGTCGGCTGTCGCATTCCTCAGACATTCTTTCTCTCTGGGGCCCAGTAGAGCCAGCCGCAGGCCATGGGGCTGCCGAGGTCCGAGGTCCGTGGCTCTGTCCAGCTGGGGAAGCACCCTCGGAGCTTTGCAGGGCTCAGCTGTCCTTGGGTGTGCCAGGAGAGGGACAGTGTGGGGGCCCAGGGTGGCCGTTCCTGGGAGCTAGAGGATGCAGCGGCAGGAAGGGGCACCGTTAGCCTGAGCAGTGTCTGGAGACACATTCGTGGGGGTTCCGGGTCATCTTCCTCTGCTCTCCTCCAGGGGTTTGATCTTCTTCGCTGCAAGGGGAAGGGACTTGGGCTTTTTAGTTTTTTCTTTTGGTTTCTTTTCCTTCCTCAGTTGCAGCCTGAGCTGGGTCTGGGAGGGGAGGTGGGATGCAGAACAGCACCCTGGAGCCCGCGGTGACCCCGAGACTGCGCCCAGGAGCCCCACAGGGCCCTGCTGCCCCAGCCCGCTGGTGCGTGCGTGGGGCGCTGCCTCTGTGGACTGAGTGGCTGTGGGTACTTTCAAAGTCAACGAGTGTGGTGCGCAGTTGCGCTGCAGGAGGAAGGTGAAAAAAAAACAACCAGGGGACTGTCCACAAAAGGGCAGAATACCAGATGTTACCAAAAAAGAAAAATAATGTCTGGGGGTGGGGGTGGGGGGAGCCCTGGTACAGAGTTCTTGGCAAAGCTAAAGGGGGAGGAGGCGAGGAAGATGGCTTGGGCACCGGCATGTCATTGCTGAACGTCTGTGCCGTGTTTGAATCAGAAAATGGATTTGGAATGATATAGCTGCAAACCCGGGGGCAGAGATGCGGCGTGGGGGTGGTGGGGTGGGTGGGGAGGTCCGGTGTTCCTGCCGGCTGGCTGTCACTCCCACCCAGGAGATCCAGGGATGGATGGGGTGGGCGGGCAGGACTGAGAAGTTAGCTCATTAAATTGCAAAAGTGAATACAAAATCAGTTCCGCGGCCCCTCCACCTCCATCCTCAAGCTGATGATGAGACCCAAGCCGGCCCCCTACCTGCAGACTGCCACCTCGTGTCGTCACCGGACGCGCTTGCTGGCAGCACCCTGAGGCCCTTCAGAGGGCTCCCGCTATGGGCCACTCCACACTCCTGACCGCACACCTTGCTGTGGCACCACGTGAACCCCCAATGTCATTCTGGCCCCCTCTCTCACCGATCCAGCATTACGATTATTTTATTTTATTTTATGTTTCAGTTCATTTCCTTTGTGCCTTTTCCCCCCCTGAAACCAAACAATATTTTGACATCCTCCTCCCGTTTATTAGAGCCCGTTTTCTCGAAACGGCGCACAATACGTCCTTCTATTTGTAAAGCACTGTTTTCACAGCCCTCTCCTTTGGCTCTGAAATTATGTCTCTGTAATTGGTAATTAAAGGTGCGAGCTTTTCAATATACACAGTATTGCTCAATGTTGGATGGCGGAAGGGGAAAGAGGCTCGGAATAATTGCCTTTTACGTCCTGACAGACCGATCCCAGAAACCCCGGTTTTCCCCTCAGAACCGCCGTGCAGGGTGAGGGGTGGAAGACGACATTTTTCTTCCCGGTGTCAAGCCTTTTTTCATAAAATAAGCAGGTGAATTAATTGTGTCACACTGTCTTTGGGACTCCTTCGGAAGTCGGCTCCGATTCCCCTTTGTGGGGTACTGACGGTTTAGTGAGGGCCGTGTTGTCTCTTTGTGGGTGCTTCCTGTGGGGGGCTCCGCAGACACAGGTTTGGGATTTCCTGGACGTCGCTCCGGGTCCGCCTGTGTCATGGTTTTGGACTCCAGGGCTCCCTCAGCTTTTGGGGGAAGCGGAGTAGCCCCATCGCCTGGGGTCATTCCACCGGCCTCAGGGTACCTCCAGGTCCCCCCGCTGGCCCAGGCGTCTGCCCGCAAGGCACATGCCACACGCCACGTGCCCTGGATTCCATTTTACACGTGAGCTTGCCCGCCAGGGCCACGCCGGAGCCGAGGGTGGAAGATGCCACGGCATATTTTCCTCAGATTATCTGTTCCTGGGCTCCAGCCCGTCAGTGACTGCTTTCCCTTGAATGTGTTTCTTCCTCTTCCGTGGCTTCCAGACCCCTCTGGAAAACACCCCACAGCGGAAAACCTACCTGCTTCCCGGGGAGCAGACCCTTTCCCACACCCCCCAGTTCCCCTCTCCGCATCCCCCACCCCGCCCCACCACTCCTCCGGCCCAGACACCAGGGTCTCCTCTCTTGACAGATTCCAGCCCCTTGTCACTCAGACCCCGGGGCAGGCTGCCCACGGATTGTTTATGACACTTGGGCTGCAGAACCTGCCAGGTGTCCTGGGAGGGTGGTGGTGGTGGGGTGTCCGCTTGGGGCGGCATTTATTCCTTTCAACAATATTTGGGTCCTCCCCCCCCCCTCCTCCCTCCAAGAACACAACACAACACAACACAACAAAACGAAAGACAAGAGATAAAAGGAAAGGGACGCAATCCCTCAGCGGTTGGAGAAGCAGCACCACGTCCTCTGCCCCCTGAAAGCGTGGTGCATGTCGTTATCAAGGAAGGATGGCTTTCGGAGTCTGAAAGATTCCCTTTTCTTCTGGCTCGTTTGTTTTCTGGCGTGAAAATAACACCAGCAGACAAAGCAAGACAGAGGGAAGCTCACGTGTGCCGGGAGGTCAACAAAGCAAGGCCTGGCTGCCCCCGGACTGGTGTGTCTGGCAGGCCAGCGTCCCTCCCTACGTGGTCACCCCTGCCCCTCTCCATGTCTGTGAGTGGACACACTCTCACTTGTTGCTCTCTGGACACATGGGCCTCTTCCTCCCATCCGGAGGGCCACCGACGCCCATGCCCTTCTGGGGTTCTGTGCCTGGGTTTGGGCACTGTCTGGGCGCAGGTAGGGGATGCAAGGAGGGGAGTAGGAATGGGCAGCCCATGAATGAAAGGTGGGGGAGAGCTGTGGAGGCCCCCCCCCCCTTATCGGAGGGGCTCAGCTCCTGCTGGCAGTGCCTGTGGTGTGTGGGGGGTGGGGTGGGGGCGAATCTAAAACCTACTGTAGTGTGATCCTGTTGTTCATTAGGGGTTCTTTCTAGTGTCCCGGACGGCCAGCTCTGGCTCTTTGGCAAAACCAGGGTGTGCTCTGTGTTTGTCTGCTGTGTTGGGAGGGGGCAGGACAGATCAACCAGGAGACCTTCCGTCGGCCAGTGAGCTCCTGCAACGGTTTCTGGAATTGTGCACAACCCGGGAGCCTCTTTCTGCCCTTGTGTCCGTGGAGACGGAACTTGGGGCTGTAGGAGGGCCGGGGAGGCTGGGGTGAGCTGGAGTCCGGCTTTGGAGGTCAGGTGTTCTGATTGCCTAAGCCCACCCTGTCTTCTCTGCCCCTCCCTCTTTCTGTCTCCAGCAGAAGCTGACCATGTGGGGACCACCTTTCTCGAGGAAGACGGAGGTCTGGAGATAGAGGAGCCGCCTGGCCTGGGGCTGATCGTGGGGGGGCCCGACCCCGACCTGCTCACGTGTGGACAGTGTCAGATGAACTTCCCCCTGGGGGACATCCTGGTTTTTATCGAGCACAAGAGGAAGCAGTGCGCGGGCCTGGGTGTCTGCTATGGCAAGGGCCTGGACAAAGGCAGTCCGCCGCCCGCCCCGCGCTCCGAGCTCAGGAAAGTGTCCGAGCCGGTGGAGATCGGGATCCAGGTTACACCCGACGAAGACGACCACCTGCTCTCGCCTACCAAGGGCATCTGCCCCAAACAGGAGACCATTGCAGGTACGCACTACCGCCGCCGCCTGGCCCGGCCCTGGCCGCTGCCGCTGCTCATGCCACTCTCCCCGCTTGCCCCCTGACTTGGGGCTGGTGCTGGCCGGGATCTCTGGGCCACAGGCTGGGGCTGACTCTTTCTGGGGGGGATACCCAGGATGGGAGGGGATGGGCCCGGGGACTCAGGGTTGCTCGGCCAGCAAGGTGGCTCTGCTTTTGGTGAGGGGCCTCTGGCTTTGGGCCCTATCCCCGGGGGGTGGCCAGGCGCACAAGGAGACCTGTGGAAGTTGGCTGGGCTGCTGGTGGCCGCCATGTCCTGGCCTTGGAGTAAGGCCGTCTTGGGTTCAAATCGGTGTTTCTGACACCTGGGTCTCCCCCTCCATGAAACCGGAGGGAACAGACTCCCACCCAGGTGGGGCTGCTGGGAGAGTGTGTTGAGCCCTTGCGGCCTCAGTCTCCCAGCTGTCAGCACAGGGACAGGCCCTGGACCCCAGGCCCCTACTGATGTTGCCTGAATAGGACGTGCTGGGATGCTGCCTGCATGGGGAGGCTGGACTTGCCCTATCCACAGGCCTGCTTGTCTGACCACCCAGACAGCTGGTGCCCACCTCCTGCAGAATAAGGGTAGGGGCCCCTCTGCCGTGGGAATGGCCTTGTCTCCTTGGGGTGTGTCACTCACACCCCCTTCCCGGAGCTCATGGCCCACCCCGGGGGCAGCTTTGGCTTCTGGTTTACCCGGCAGCTTTGGCGGGCTTCGAGCCCTGCTGATGGACCGCTTCCTGGGCCTGAGCCTCCGCTTCTCTTTGCATCAGCCGGTTGGGAGGGGGTGAGGTCGGGAGCAGATGCAGTGAGCAGGACTTGGAGAAGGTGGCCCTTGTCTCTGGGGTCCCCTCTGCCACAGCCCGCTGGTGGCCAGCTGGGAGGCCGGGTGCCTGAGCCCCCTCGTGTTTGGTTCTGGGGGCTGATGAAGGTGCTGGAGGGGGCAGAGGCCTGGGGTGTGGTGGGGCTTAGGAACTGCATCACCAGGTGATGGCCAGCAGGGGTGGGGTGGTGGTGGTCCCTGTCTGCCCCCACCCCCACCCCCAGTCAGCCGGCTCCGTCCCGTCTGCCTCGCTTTGCCCACATGTACAATGGGGAGGGTGGTGGCTCGCAGAGTCCCATCAGGGCCATGGCCAGGACAGCCTGGTGGGAGACGCAGGAAGCCAGAGCAGCTGGTGGGTCTGGCCAGGTGGATCCCAGAGCATGAGGTTGGTCATTGGCCTTCCAGGGTGCAGGGCCAGCAGACAAGATCTTGGTCTCTCTGCAGACCCTGGTAACGAGGACCCGTACTGGCTGGTGAGGCAGGTGCTGGGCCCTCTGGTCTGTGAGCAGCCTTCCCCTCCTCCCAACCTCTTGTCACATGCCCCAGGGAGAGGGGTCTCCGGTGGGCAGCTCTAACCCTTTTCTGGTAGAGGGACCCGCAGCGTAGGAGAGTCGGCCCAAAGGACGTCCAAGTGTGCCCAGGAAGGGCCCACTGCTTTGCCAGGCACATCCCAATGCCCAGCTCCCAGGAAGGCGATTTTCTTTCTTGGGGCCACAAAGTCTAACCTTGCGCAGAGCCAGGTTCCTCTCTGCGGTCCCCAGATCTCCCTAATTTTCGGGGTGCCCATGCCTCGGCGGGATTGCTGTGTGATGTGTGATGTGTGACAAGCAGAGAGACAGAGAGGGGCCTGGGCATTCAGGTGTGTGGATTGACCCACTCCAGGCGAATTGGGAAGAGCAGCTCTTCCGAGTCTAGAGAGATGTTTGTTCACAGCATTTAGAATGTTGTTTTGATCCAAGGCCCCCCTGCAGTGGCCAGTGTGTTGTGACAGCCGTCCTCCGGTTTCAGCAGCCCCGTCCTCGGCTCCCGTTCTCCCTCCCCCAATACTTGGGCTCAACTTTGTGCATTTTATTCCAATCCTTTTTTATTTAATAAAAAGGGAAAGATGAGAGAAGGGGAACTTCAGTGGCTCAAATGTAGAAAGTAATTTAATAGGGTGGGAGCATTAATTATTTTAGCGTAATTGAATTCGGAGGACTGCAGCCCCGGCGTTGTGTTGTAGGCTGAGCCCTGCTTATTATTTCTCTGTTTAGATGAACAGTAAAGGAAACACAGATAACTTGCCCGTTATTTATTGTTAAATAAATGTGTCAATTCATGTGTAAAGCAAGCTGCTCGAAGATAATTGAGTCTTTATATTTGAAGGAGGAGTTTAGGGATGGCAGCCGGCCTCTGATGTCTCTGCCGGAAGTCCAGGCGCCGGCGGCTGCTGCCTGTGGCCCTGGCACACCGGCCTCGAGGTCCCGATTCCTGGCTTTGGCTCCCAGGGATGCTCCAGTCTGTTCCCAGGACAGTGGCTGATCAGCTGGGGGCCATGGGTTCTTGGGGCCCTCGGCTGAGTGGAATGGAGCTTCCAGTGGTGGTGGTGAGGGTCTCCTCTTTCCCACTGTCCCCCGACCCGGCTGCTTTTAGGAGTCTGGAGGTGGTGGGTGGCTCCAGACTTGGACCCGCCGGGATTGTGTGTACGTCTGGGGATGTCTTCCGCCTCTGGGCAGCCCCAGGGGGGCACTGCTGGAATTTTCCAGGTGCCATCTCGGGGTGATCCTGCACGGTCACTCTAGGCTGGGGTGTAACAGGAGTGCAGAGGGAAGATGCATTTTCCATAGTTTGGGCTCCAGGAGAGGGAGCATTCATGTGTGGTGCGTGCATGCGTGTATGTGTGTGTGCGGTGCGTGCGTGGTGCGTGCATGCGTACCTGCTTGCCTTCGTTCATCCGTCCATCAAGCCATCTGTCCATCCATCCATCCTAAACCTCGCAAGCTGCTTTACCCTTGCCTCCAGGTATGCCCCCCCCCCCTTGAAGGAGGAGACAGGGTCTTCAGGTTAGGAAGGGAGCTTCAGGAGAATGGGGGCGGGAGTGCACACCTGAGGGTCCCATCTGCAGTGGACCTGCTGAGCCCTTGGCCCTTTGGATCCAAGTGGCCTGTATCGTCTCACCCGGTGTCCTCACCGGGGACTTCTTCCTACGCCCACCAGTTTGGGGTAGGCAGGGAAGCCACCCTCCCCCACCGAGGGAGGTCAGGGACCCAGGGCTTGTGAAGAGAATGCTCCACCCAAGTTATGTGGGTTGGGAGTCCTGAGGAGGGTGAGGGAGTGGGCGTCAGGTGGGGATGGGGCGGAGGGCCTGCATGGACAGAATGCAGCGGGAGACGGGTCCCTGACTGGCACCCTGGTTGTTCATCTGTGAATGTCCAGAGACAATCGCAGAGTTTGAACGCAGTGCCTGACTTAGGGTCTGAGGGCAGGCAGGACAAGCTGCCTCTCCTTTCCCTACAGCCCTTGCTCTCCTGGGTGCGGCTGCTGGCTTCAGGGGCAAGGGTTCGAGCCCATCAGCCACTCCTGGGGAGAGAGGTGAGCCTCCGTTCCGTGGAGAGATACAACCCAGAAGCCCGGTGGCTGTGAGCTGGCACAGGCTCGACGGTTGCGGGTGTAGAAGTCAAACCAGACGGACTCAGCCCTGTGGACTCTGCTATAACTCCCAATAACCCTACAGGAGCGGGCAGGACTGCCCCCGTGGGATTTCTGCGGCTGTACATCTTTGCCACATCTTTATCCTGTGTGCGGAGCGATTGATGGGTTTCAGGCCCCTGGCCCAACGCTTAACCCACAGTGCCACCAGGGCGCTTCAGCTGCATGGGTCTGCTCAAACGTGGGCACCACTACAGTTGGGGCAAAACTTCCATGAGGGTCTGGGGATTCTGGCATCTCAAACAACATCAGGGGGCAATTAATGCACATCCTCCTCCATCTTCCAGGGACATCCAGTGACACCTCCCCAAAGCCCTTCAGTGTGTGGGGGCGTGGCCAGAGTGGGAGGAGTCTGGTTTGTGCAGGTAGGGCAGGCTGGGGCGGGGCAGCTGCTTGTTCCCCCAAGCCCACTGTTCACCGAGATGTCTGGTCAAACATGCCTGAGAGATGGAAGTTTCTAGAAACCTAAGCTCAGCAGCTGGCACTTTCATGGTCATGTCCGGACCGTTGGTCTTCCTTAGCAATTCCCTCCACAGCCCTCCTTACTGTGCCCTCCAGGAGCTGTGGAAAGAAAGGCGGACAATCAGAGGTGATTCCTGGTTACCTGTGTGTCTCCTCCCAGAGCGAACGAGGGAGGGACTGCTGCCCGCCACTCCCTCTGTGACATCCCCACCCGAACTCTCCATCTTCACCTGCCACCCTGAATGTCAGGCATGGCTGGGGGACCAGGGTCCTTGAAGCAGGCAGGGCACAGGCAGAGGGGGTGGGGAGAAGCCACATGGGGGCCCTCCTGATCCCACCATGAAGCAAAAGGTATAGGAGGAAAGAGGGTGTCTGACCAGTGGAGGATTTAGACACCGCCCCGAGGATGCTCATTTTGGACTTTCACAAAAATAAGTAGAATAAATGTAAAACTATAAAACCACGGCTCTGCCTTTGCGGGGCCAGTGAGAGGAAATGACGTGGCCCTGCTGGAAGCTGGAGATAAAACCCCACTCGCAGGTGACTTCAAAAAAGCCTGCCTCTGACGTATTTGGAGTTGTTATTTTCCTTCCACATTAAGATTCGTTAAATCCATGTGTGTTGTGGCATGGATGATCTGTCTTATGATTAAGTCGCGGCAGTCCATTAGGAGGCTGTTGGTCGAGCCGGGTGGCCGAAGCTTAAGCGGAGGGTGTGGCCGAAGCTTAAGCGGAGGGGTGGCTCATCAGGGCTGGCGCAGGTGGGGAGAGGGCCCTGTGGCCGCAGTGCTGGGCTGCTCCCTCCTCCTGGGTTCATTCCTCAACCTTGAAGCAAATGTTTCCATCTCACTTTGAGGTGACACCAGCAGTCACACTCTGCACATCACTGTCTAAAACCCACCCTGGGACAGGACCTGGCTTCTGCTGCTGCCTCTGAGACCCGAGGGAGTGTGCCCGCTGGGTGGCACATGTGTGGAGTTGGCTCCGTGGCACTTGGG